CAGGTATGAGTTTGCATTCAAAGGAGAACAATACAAGAATACATTCAAAGGTTTTGATGATGCATGAAAGCATACTAGTAGAGTAAATCTCTTTACCTTTGACTTGAAGTTGTCATAGGAATACAAGGAGTGGAGAAGCAACATAGTTAATGATAATGTCCCTATGGTCAATTCTGAAAATACTCAGCATATGAAATAACATCTTAGAGTAATACCATCTCTACTAGTGCTAGCCATTCTTGACTTTGAGGCCAAAAGGAAATAGTGGAATGAGATGTTATAGAGAATGAAGGATGAGACGTACTAGAAAAGCTTAGAAATCGATATCCAAAATGGTCGAGCTGATCGAATCGAAAAGTTAGAAAAGTAGCTCAGATTAGACTTCGATGATCTTCAGTTATCTTACCAGCGAATGGTCAAGGCTCAAATGGCTACTAGCTCAAGCAAGTCTCCTTCTGAATGGATTCAATAAGTGGCAAGTTGAAAAAGAGAAGTTGGGGAAAGTAGTGAAGAGCTTAAGTTTAGTAGACATCAGGTGAAGCTACTTTCAAGAGAAAATAGTGCATTAGAGAAACAACTGCAAGAGAGTCAGGCCCAGAACGAGAAATTGACAGGTAGAATCTTGAGTTTAGAGACAACTTTGTGATGGTACCAAAGTCGGGAAAGCAATTCAAAGTGTACGAATGTTGAAAATTTGAAGAAACGTGTGAATGAACTTGAAGCTATGGTTCAAGATTTTTCAGATAAGGGCAAGTGAACTACCGATAGTCCCATATGAAGGAGTTATACAGTGTTGCCATCATTGGCAACATGCTTAGTTGAGAGTTAAGCAAAGTGATGCCCTCATCACGAGCTACCTGCAACATGCTCAAGGAGTAGCTTAGTACTTGGTTGACTTGTCACACGAAGCTGATGTTGTAAGTGAATGATTGGAGCCCAAGAGTGAAGAAGTTTAGAGGATTTTAGATTTGCTGGGGCACATGGAAAAAATATGAAAGATAGCTCATATTTATATGTGATACGTTTAAGCCTTGTAACTAAACTTCGTTTCCAATATTAAGAGTTGTTCTAAGGAATCGTTCCAGAATCAACACCTCACATTGAATTTACATGGCATTTACAGTGTTTTTACTTCTCGTATTACATTTTATTCATTATTAGTCATATTTTTCATATTCATTAATAAAATACCAATTTTAAAAAAAAATTTGTATGGCATAATACTAGAAACTTCTAAGCATTTGTACCATACTCAAAAAAGGAAATGGATGAGAGAATTCCCATATTGAGAGGACTCAGCTCGAAATGCAGGACAGTTTCAGGAAAGGTCAAGAGAAGATGTGAGAAAAAATATTGAAACCTCAAAATGATATGATGGAAAGGTTGGAAGTATGTTGCAAAGAAAAAAAATACAAGTTGTGAAGAGACTCTGATTGGTGGTGTTGCTATCGAGGAACCTTAATATCCCCAAGCTTTGAACCACGGGCTGATCGTGGAAAGGATCCCACTGTTGGTTCCTTCGAAGAACCCTTATATCCCCTGGCTTTACACCACTGCGATTAGGGCATAACAAACAACAATTGCTTAGCTAGAAAGAATACATATAAACTTACTTGACACTTCTGTAAATCCACACCCTGTTGAAGATGCCCCAGATTTTGATGAGGATGGAAAAAAAGAGCAGAGTAAGCAATTTGAGGAGGAATAGAAACAACTGAAAGATGAAATCAGGGCCATGAAAGAAGTCACTGGCATGTATAAGATTAATGCCAAGGAGCTAAGTCTGGTTCTTGATTTCACCCAAGTTTAAAATTTCAGATTTCGAAAAGTTTGATGGCATGAGATGTCATTTTGCACACATCACTATGTTCTGCAAAAAAAATGACCAGCTATGTGTGGGATGATCAACTGTTTTTAATAAAGCCTGGTAGGATCAGCCATCCGTTGGTACAATCAATTAAGCAGGGCTCAAATTAAATCCAGGAATGACTTGGCTAAAGTTTTTCTGGAGTAGTATAAGCATGTAAAAGATGTGAGGCCTAATCGAATCAAGTTGCAGATCATGGAAAAGAGGTCTAACGAAATTTTCATACAATATACCCAATGGTGGAGGGATATGGATGTACAAGTTCATCCGCCGCTTGAGGAAGAAGAAACCAACATGGTCTTTGTAAACTCTCTAAGGGCTCCGTTCTTTGGCCACCTCATAGGAAATTTATCCAAGAGCTTTGTCGATGTGGTCATAGCAGAAAAGATGATCGAAATGGCGATCAAGAGTGGGATACTTGACGGAGGATAATCTAGCAGGAAACCATATTTGAAAAATAATGATAATAAAGTTAGTAATGTGAGGAAGTATGACTAACAACATTACTATGTCTCGACCTCAAGCCACTGGGTCGTCCATACAGAATTCTGTCAAACAAGGGGCGAAAGAACCAAGGCATGAGAGGAAAAGGCTTCAATTTGACCCGATCCACATGACCTACAAGGAATTGTTTCAGATCTTATATGATAAGCATGTGGTGTCACCTTACCACACATCGCCGATAAAGCCTCCCTACCCTAAGTGTATGACACTAATGCACAATACAAATATCACGTAGGGGCTTTAGGACATTTAATAGAGAATTGTATTACCTTCAAAAAGATCATCCAAAGATTAAGATAGAGGAATGTCATCAACTTTAGTGACAATGAACAACCAAATATGGCTCACAACCCACTGTCGAACCATACAGGGGCAGGGGTCAATGCAATTGATGAGAAAAATGGAGGTTTGCATATTAATGTGATATTAGATGATGAGGTTGAGAAAAGAAGAGCTATGGGCATTTATCCAACACCTCCAGGCTTCATGCTAAATAATTGGACTGTATAAGAATAACATATAGTTTACAAAACTTTTTCAGAGTAGTACACAAAAACGTTCCCTATTGTCTAAAACTCGGGGCAATATGTGATCTTTTGTAAATGGTTAATCTACTACTTTTTAAATATTTATTGAAAGATGAATTCATGTCAATTCACAAAATGCAAACATTCTCCTGTGTATATTTTTTCATTCTTTATTATTATTTATGCATATATTATTTCATTCTATTTTGATATGGGATAAATTCTTATGTATGTTTATATGTACGTATATCCTCTCGTTCGTAATTCTTTCAGGACCTCCGATATCTATAGTATGAATGCTAATGACTCTGACCCGGAAATAGATTTTGAGCTACCTATATGTCAGGGGAAGTCTAGGGTTATGATAATGATGAGGAATGTAACTTACCTTCTGAACTGCTAAAAATGGTGGAGAGGGAAGATAAACAGATTATGTCGTATGAAGAGCCCATCAAAATTTTGAATATGGAATCAAAAGAAAATAAGAAAGAAATAAAGATTGGTATCACCTTATCTGCTGAGGGTCGACTGAGTTTGATCAAACTACTTTGACACTACAGATACGTGTTTACTTGGTCGTATGAGGACATACGAGGTTTAGATATTGATTTGGTGGTACACAACTTAGTAATAAAGCCAGAATGTAAACCTGTACAACAAAAGCTCGGAAGGATGAGACTCGAAATGCTACTGAAAAATAAAGAAAAAGTAAAAAAACAATTCGAAGTTGGATTCCTTAAAGTAGTAAGTATCTGTAATGAGTGGCAAACATTGTTCTAGTACCCCAAAAAGGATGGAAAAGTTTGCATGCACATCGACTACAGAGATCTTAATAGAGCGAGCCTGAAACATAAGTTTCCTTTGCCATACATAGACACATTGGTAGACAATACTACTAGAAATTCCTTGTTCTCGTTCATGGATGGGTTTTTAGGTTACAGTCAAATAAAGATACATTTGGAAGATATGGAAAAGACTATGTTTATCACCATGTGAGGCATGTTTTACTACAAGGTGATGTCGTTCGGGCTAAAGAATGCAAGGGCAACCTACCAAAGAGCCATGGTAACATTGTTCCATGACATGATGCATAAAGAAATAGAAGTCTATGTTGACGATATGATTTTTAAGGCCAAAGCAGAGGAAGAACACATAGATAATTTGAGAAAACTATTCCAAAGATTAAGAAAATTCCAACTAAAACTCAATCCAAGCAAGTTTACCTTCGGGGTAACGTCTAGAAAACTCTTGGGGTTTATAGTGAGCAAAAAGGGATTGAAGTATCCCAAAATGTCAAAGCTATTCAGGATTTACTACCCCCACAAACACAAAAAAAGTTCAATGATTCCTGGGGAGATTAAATTACATTGCCCGATTTCTTTCTCAATTAACTGAGAAGTGTGATCCCATTTTTTGCCTTCACCGTAAAAATAACCCAGGGGTATGGAACGATGATTTCCAAGGAGCTTTTGAAGTAATAAAGGGATATTTGTCAAACGTTTGGGTCTTAATGCCACCAATTAGGGAAACCATTAATTCTTTACTTATCAATATTCAAATTTAATGGGGTGTATTAGGGCAGCATGACCAAACCGAGAAAAAAGAGAGAGCAATCTACTACTTGAGTAAAAAGTTTATTGATTATGAGGCAAGGTACTCATCGATAGAAAAGTTGTGTTGTACTTTAGTTTGGACTACTCGAAGGCTCAGAAAATATATGATGTATCAAACTACTTGGTTGATCTCTAGACTTGATCCTCTGAAATATCTAATGGGTATACCTGCTTTATCTGGGAGATTGGCCTGTTGGCAAATTTTATTGTCTAAGTTTGACATCTAGTATGCAAGCCAAAAAGCAGTTAAAGGGAGTGTTATATCAGATTTCATTACAAGCAGGGCTTTTGAGGAGTATGAACCACTGAAATTTGATTTCCCAGATGAAGACTTAATGGCTATTTAAGCTGAAGAGGTAGTTTCCTCTATAGATGAACATTAGAAGTTGGATTTTGATGGAGCCTCGAATGTCTTGGGGCAATTCTGCTCTCAATAATTGAGAACACTATCCTTTCACCAGTCAGCTAAATTTTGATTGGACAAACAACATGGTTGAGTATGAAGCATGTATTTTGGGTCCTATACCTGTCATTGAGCATAGATTAAAGACACTTAAAGTGTATGGAGATTCAACTTTGGTAATTTATCAACTTAGAGGTGAATGGGAAATGAAATATCCCAAGTTGGTCCTCAAGCTCATCAAAGAGTTCGAAGTAGTGACATTCTATTACTTCCTAAGAGAAAAGAATCAAATGGTGGATGCTCTAGGCACTTTGGCAGCATCCTTTAAAGTAAATAAACATTCAAATATGACACCCATTGAGATGCAAGCTTATGAGTATCCAGTGCACTACTATAGCATAGAAGAGGAAGACGATAAAAATATCTGGTATTATGATATCCTGCAATACATCAGATATCAAAGTTACCCTGAGCAGGAAACTGATAATGACAAAAGAACTATTCGAAGAATGGTTGTAGGATACGTGCTTGATGGCAAGATCTTGTACAAGAAAAGTCATGATCAGGTTTTGTTGAGGTGTGTAGATGCTAAAGAAGCTAAAACAATCATTGAAGAAATTCATTAGGGAGTATGAGGTACCCATGCTAATGGACATGTAATGGAAAGATAAATAATTAGATTTGGGTATTACTGGTTAACCATGGAAACCGATTGTATCAATGATACCAGAAAATGTCACAAATGACAGATTTATGGAGATAAGATCCATACCCCTCCTCATCTATTGCACGTAATGATTGTTTCATGGCCATTCTCTATGTGGGGCATGGATATCATTGGAAAAATTTCGCCCAAAGCTTCAAATGGTCATCGTTCATCTTGGTGGCAATAGACAACTTCACCAAATTGGTAGAAGTGGCTTCCTATGAAAATGTCACTCATTCAACAGTCTGCAGATTCTTAAAGAAATATATTATCTACCGATATGGGTTACCTGAAAGAATCATCACCGACAATGCCTTGAATTTAAACAATAAGATGATAGAATCAATATGTAAGGAGTTCTAGATAAAACATCATAATTCCACAACTTATCGCCAAAAGATGAATGGGACAGTAGAGGAAGCCAATAAGAATATCAAAAGGCTCATAGAGAAAATGACTGAGACTTATAAAGATTGGCATGAGAAGTTATCATTTGCTCTATTTGCCTATCGAACCTCAGTAAGGACGTCAATTGGGGTAACTCTATTTTCTTTAGCCTATGGGATGGAAGCCAAGTTATCCATCGAGGTAGAAAATTTATCACTTCAAGTGTTATCAGAGGTTAAGCTATATGAAGCAAAATGGGTACAAGCTAGGTATGACCAACTGAATCTGATTGAGGAAAAAAATATTAAAAGCTATATGCATGGGAAAATATATCAGAAATGTATGATGAGGACACATAATAAGAAGGTTCTCCCACGAGAGTTTGAAAGAGATATTGTACTTAAAAAGATTTTTCTAATTCAAAAAGACTTCAAAGGTAAAATGGATGCCAAATTGGGAAGGTTCTTATGTTGTGAAGAAGACCTTTTTCGGAGGAGCTTTGATCCTCACCAAGATGGATGGACAAAAGTTACCTCACCCTATGAATTCTGACGCTATCAAGAAATACTTCGTCTGAAGAAACAAAAAAGGGAAAATGAAAAAATAATGAAAAGTAAAAAAAATAAATGAAAAAATAAATAAAAAGATAGAATAAATAAAAGGAGGATCAAGATGAAAACCCGTAAAGGGAGTCTTGAAGCCAAATGAGGTCTCAGGTTGAAAACCCGCAAAGGGCGGCTTGAAAATTGTTCAAATTCAGAATTCATGTATGGCAAAGGTTCTGAATTAGTTTTGAAAACTTAAATAGTGACATCAAATGGTGGTCTGGGTTAGGACTAGAGTTTGAAAAGGCTTGGATAACTAGAAAAGAAATGAATAACACATGAGATTGAATACTGGTTTACGCATCTAACATTCGGAGAATTTGGTAGTATAGGGGGAACTTCATACCCTTGGGCATTGTCACAACTCTCAAGATCCCTTTAAGAGAAGCTACACTCGAGTCATTCTGTGGCATGCCAATTCAAAGCATTCATATTATTGATATTTGAGGACGCCTACTTTATTTTCTTTTGATTTACCCAGGTAAACGTTTACCATGTATTTACCCAAAAACTATTTACAGTTATAAATAAAAATAGATCCTTTCTTGTTAAAACCATGTTGCAAGCATCTTAATTTGAAAATAAAAACATGTAGATTAAATGGGAAACATGAGATCATTGTATTATGTACAAAACTTTTGAAAAAGTGCAAGTATTTCTGAAGCTAAAATGGCTTTAGCATAAGGCTTACATGACGATGGGCTACAGAAAGTTAAAGCCTAGGGCTACACGTAAAAGCTCAACAAAGTGGGATAATCCAAGAGGTTTATCGCTGATCAAGTAGATGGTTAAGCAGTGACTGGGTTCAAGAGTAAGAGAATTAGAGTCTGTTCAACCAAAGAGAATCTGACCAGAGTTATCAGTTAGGGTGAATTACTGTTGATTTTCGTGCTCAATATTCGATTGAATTACAAGGAGGTCAATAAAAGAGAGTTCTCATTTGACAAGGAAATACCATAAAAATGCACCATTGCACACATTTTAGGCATAATAGGATCATGACATAAAACATGATATGATAAATGAAATTGAGTACTTACAGGTTCTCCAAAAGAAAAGGATGGAGGTGTAATGACTCAATATAAAGTACCAATTCAGATTCCCATGTTTGGTGGCGGCTAAACAAGCTCCCATGAGAGAAAGCAATTTCCAAAGATTATCCTCCCAAGACTTTCAGGTATGATGTTTTTGAATTCTCAAACACATAGTAAAAAGGGTTAATGTTTAATTTTCATATTTAATATTCTTGAAGACAAGAGAAGTGAGTCGAACTCGATTCAATCTTCCTTGAAGAATAGTGGAATGAATCAACATTGCCAGATATGATTTTCCCTCAAGAAGTAGTAGAGAAGATCCCTCTTTTTTCTAGATTTGATCTTCCATGAGGAACAGTGGAACAAGTTTACCTCGATTCAATCTTCCCTGAAGAATAGTGGAATGAATCAACATTTCTAGATCTGATTTTCCCTGAAAATACGTCAGAACAAATGCCCTCTCTTTCTAGATTTGATCTTCCCTTAGTATCAGTTGAACAAGTATCCCTCAATTCAATCTTCCTTGAAGAACAGTGGAATGAATCAACATTCCCATATCTAATTTTCCTTGAAGAAATAGTGGAACAGATCCCATCTCTTTCCAGATTTGATATTCCCTAAGTAGCAGTGGAACAAGTTTGCCTCAATTTGATCTTCCCTGAAGAATAGTGGAATGAATTAACATTTCTAGATCTGATTTTCCCTTAAGAAGCAGTGGAACAGATCCCTCTTTTTTCCAGATTTGATCTTTCCTGAGGAACACTGGAACAAGTCTACCTCAATTCAATCTTTTATGACGAACAGTGGAATTAATCAATGTTTCTTGATTTGATCTACCATGAAGAAACAATGGAGGAGATCCCTTATCAAAGCATGGAGTCGACCGGACGAAACTCATTATCTCTTTCTCTTTGCCCTATTATTCTTTACATAAGAATAGGCAAAGAGAGGCAATTATGGACACTCGTTTTCGTCTTGCTATTATTTATTTTTTTTTAATTTATGCAGGCCAATTATAAAACTGAAATTGGGCCCCAAATTATAGCAGACCCAACTGACCCAGCTACCCAAACCTTAAAGGCCCATTATTACAAACTTTAGCTAACCCTAAATTTAGGGTTAACCACCCACCACTGTCACCTATCTCCACCAATCATATCTGCCTCCTTGCTGCATTAATCCCCAGCCACCGACGCTGCCACCAACCACACACCAAGTCCCCTTCCACACCAAGACCAAATCAACAAGCAACAAGCAATCCACACAAGCTTGTAATGATTATATTTTTAATGATGAAAATATATAATTTTAGGGGTTATAAAACCTTGAAAGTGAATGTAAAAAGGGTTCTCTGACCCTTCGATTTTTGAAAGCAATACAATATACAAAAAAACATGAACGTTTTAAGGTATTTTGTTTCTTTTATTTTGTTTCCAGTTTCGAAAAGTTTAATAATAAAAAACCCAAGCATTATGTTGAACAAAAACAAAAAAAGGGGGTTAGATATAGAAAGATACTGAAATGAGTCAAACCGGGACCGTTCGTCTTCGCGGCGGTCGAAGGTGAAAAGTCGAAGGGTCGAGAGGGATTTTGGGTAGTTTAGGGTCTTTTTAGGTAGTTTTAGCCTTGGATATAAGTCTAAGGAGGTAGATTTGAGTTTTAGAAGGATTTTGGGGGTTTTGACCGCCGTGTGCGATGGTCAGAACACGGCCGAAGGTGGAGTAATGCGGCCAGCAGTGGGTCGATCGAGGAAAAATGAGAAAAAAGAGAGAGGGTTGAATTTTTTTAAATCGGTTTAACAAAGAAAAAAAGGAAAAGTTGTATTTATAGAAAAGTTAGGGGGAAATCACGCTTAGTCCCCCTAACTTGCGCGTGCTTTTGTAAAGTAGTCACCTGTAGTGTCGGTTCTGTAATTTACCCATTTCTATGCATGTTATATATTTTTTGGTATAATTATTGTTTAGTCCCCCTAACTTTATCATGTTTTTGCATGTTAGTCACCTGTAGGGACTGATTTTGTAGTTTACCCTTTTGTGCATGTAATATATTTTTAGGGTTATTTTTATTTTAATCCCTAAATGTTTGTGTGCTTTTACAGTCTATCATTTAGTGATGATTTAATTTTTTTAAATACTTATGGAATGATTTAGTAATTTACCCATTTTTATTCCAATCCATGTTTTAGGCTTATAAAAAAGGAATAATTAAGGAATAGTCCTTGTAGTTTCTGTATGTTTATATTTCAAAGAATAATCTATTTTTATTTAATTTAATTTGGCCATGCAATTTTATTTTATTTAATTTGGTCCTCATGTTTTATTATTTATTTCTTTGTAATTTTAGCATCAATATTAAAAGTGCTCATTTTAGTCACTTTTTATTTTATTTTTGTTTAATTTGACATGATGGTTTGATTGTTTATATTAGTCCTATTTTCATTTTATTTATTTTTATTTTTGCATGATTGCTTGCATGTTATTCATTTTAGTCATTAATTAATTTCGCATTATACCCTATAAGCATTTCTTGACTCGAATCGAAATAATTTGACTAAGGGTAATATTTGTTCATTTTATATTGTCGTAAAGTGATAGTCTTAACTGTTGAAACATTTTGATGTTTCGATATAACAAATGATTTTAAGATTTGCAAATGATTTTCTAAGTATATTCGATATAATTATTGAATATCAAAATATTACTCCAAGTCTTTCAAAGTTCATTTTAATCCTTACTAAAGTGTAAAATTGTGTTTTATACTTAAACTACTTTAAAACAATTTTACAAAGTATTTCGAGCCTTAATCGAGCCAAAAATATTTTCCTTTTAAAGGGTTTCAAGAAAAATCAGATTGTCCAGGGGGTACCGATTCCCCCCCAGGGGGTACCGATTCCC